CCTTGTTCTTTGTAGTATACTTATTCATGTACTCTTAACATTCGTATGTAGTGTGCAAATGTAATGTCATGCTTACGAGAGGGGGCTGGCTGCCTCCAGCCCACAGTCATCGGTTCAATAGCAGAACACTTTAGATAAGTTATTTTGCACTTTCTTATGTATAAAATTGGTAGATACTTATATTTGCTTTGTATCATTTAAAGACTCCTTTTGTTTCGGTAAATGAACTGTGTATAAAATATTTATGCAGTTGAAACTGTTTTTAGACAGTATTTTTAATTTCAGCAAGTTTGGTTACTTGTTGCATGACTATTAACACAGCTGACTTTTTGTGTCAGTGCAATGTATATTTTTTTGTCCTGTTATTAACTTGTAAGCCCTAGTTAAATGGCCATTTATTTGTACAGCATCGGGAGTAAATTGAAGATAACTGGCTAAGACTGGAGTGTGGAATTTTGTACTATATTGCAGAATCCAATATCTGTTTTTTGGTGGTTACGTAAAAGGCCTGACGATTTACTATCTAGTGTGCAATCTGTGATATCTGAATGTTCATTGTATATTTGTCTCCAATGCAAAAAGTTAGAGTAACACAGTTACAATACATGATTAAATGCAATAGTTCAGGTACTTAAGTATTTTTTTCATTTCAAATAAATACCTGCTATTTACCACCAAAAAGCTGTTTTGCATTTGTTGGAAATAAGCAACATTTGCAGCTGAATAAACATTTTTAAAATGGGAGTAGTAGTTGATGAGTACCATGTTTTTTTATCCTCCAGACAAGTAAACTTGTTGTTTGATATCGTTTTGCTTTCTGAACCCAAGTACAGTCATCTGCAGTGATGCAATGTAAAATTGTGAATCTTTTTTTTTTTTTTTTTTAAGAGTGTCATTGTAGAGAGTGGGAAGCCAGCAGTGTTGACAGTTTTTTAGAAGAATAAGCTGTACTGATAAAGAGAAGGCAGACAGTAAAGAATAATCTAAGTCACGTTCCATAAGGACATTTCAAGAGGAGGAAGTACTGAAAACTTAAAGCATCTTTTCCAAGGAGAGAGGACAACTGCTAGAGCAGGACTTGACCTTATCTGGTGAGACACAGCTTAAGATCCCCAAATGTTGAAATATTTTACTAATGCTTAGAATCATAGAATGATTACAGTTGGAAAATACCTCTAAGAGATAATCATGTCCAACCTCAAACCCATCACCACCATGCCCCCTTCAACGCCTTTGTATAATTTTTTCTAATTTGGTAGTGCTGAAGAAGGTGGGATTTTGTTGTGATGGTTACTTGCATGGCAATGCTGGTTGCTAACTGCAGCTGGACCTGCCATGTTCCTTAGATGATTAACACCAGAACTCACTGCATTCTTAGTGCTTGTCAGAAAGTGATTTCTTTAGCTGTAAGATAAAAGTACCTTCAAGCAATGTTATTAACCATCTGTGCTTACTGCATTCAGCATAAACTCATTTCATAACAGCTTTGTGTGGCGGTAGGGGAGTTTTTAGAGTGTATTAAGTGTTCTTTGCAGTTGTAGCTAGCCCACCTACTCTGGTGCCATAGAACAGGTCACAAAGGAGCTTCAGCAGAGAGCACCTTGAGCCAGTAGAGTGCTCTGGAGTCAGGGTGCTAGGTCTGGCGTTGTCAAGTAGAAATGCCCTCTTATCTGCGGCTCCAGGCTGGTTTGTGCAGCAGAACCACTTGCTGTATGGTAATTCAGCATTTTCTTCTCATTGGCAAAAATGTGCTGGCCTTCTTCATGGATCTGTACCACATTGAAGTTAGCGGACCTGTGCTCAATTTCAAGTAGTGTTCTGAATGATGTGAAGAACCTGTAGTTTTAGTGCCATGAGTAATTTTTATAACTTTTTTCTATCTCTCCGATACATGCTCCCACTGATTCAGTCTTTATAGCTAGTGACTGTGCCTTATTTCAGGAGTAGCCTCCATTCTGTTTCTTGCTGTAGGAGATTAATTCTTTTGAAAGTTTGCCAATGGCAGCATGATAACTTGGTCAAACCTGCTCATAGGTAAAGCTTTGGTGCTGAAAAACTTCGGCTTGGAGACGACTGGCTACATGTTTCCTCCTGCTTCTCTCAGTAATGCAGCAGAACAAACAGTGATGGAGTGGACAGGTAACACACTGAAGAGGTAATTCCTATGCAGCCACAAAGCTATCCGAGTTGTAGTCTCCTTTGTGTGAATTATCACCATTTGCACTAGCTGCAGAATATGATGTTAAAATTTAAAAAAAAAAAAAAAAAAAAAAAAAAAGACAGGTTTGAGAAAGGTTCAGTGCATTATAGTGGATATTTTTTGCATGTTGCCTTTCCGGATGTGGGAAATAATATTGTGCTATATATTTTGTAAACTTTCTTAGTATAAAATTATATTGATAAGATCCATCAGATCAGCATTCCCTTGTGATGCGCCTGCAGTCAGCTGGAAGCAGTTTCTCGAAGTATTGCTAGTTCATTTCCACACTGAATTTGTTTAATTTCCTTTGGAACTGCAGCTCTTTCTGGTGAACAGGCTGCCGGCTAGCCAGGTTGTGCCATGCCAATGGGATGCAGATGGGTGTTACTGCTAGGGGTAGAGACATGGCTGTGCTAGGGGTACAGTGTGTGGCTGTGCATTGCTGGATGCCCTGTAGAAGTCTCAAGAGGATGACTGTTGGTCTGGTCTGTCAGCAGGGGCTCTTTGTGGCTGCCCAGCTTCACACAGGATGTGGCATTAATGGAAGGAAATCATGTGGCTCTGCATGATGGATTCCTCAGCTTTTTTCAAGGAAGAGGAAAGTGAAAGATGTTCAGAGTGGGTTGAGGCTTCCCATGGACAACACTTGCTGTTCTGAGAGCTGAAAGCTCTGCTTTCCTCTGGTAAAACACCAAGGTTCTGTTGAGACTGAGTCTCCAAGGGAGGGAAAGCATGTGCAGGTTGCATTTAAATTCACCTCCTCCTCAGCTTTGGTACAGCTGATGCCTCGCAATCTGCTGAGGGATCCCTCTCTTCTGATTGCAGAGTCTCCTTTCTCTTACCCAGTGAGTGCCTCCAAATGGGTAGCTGGAGGGTAGGACCTTGATGTGCTTGGTTCTGTAGCAACAAGTTCACCAGGAAATACAGTAGTAAAAACACTGCTTTCCATGCAGTGTTTGTGAAATACATTCTGGGATTGCTCTTTTTAGCTAATGGGCACAGAGAGAGCTGTGCATTGAAAAAGCAAACTAAGTTTCAGCGTGAGCCAGGTTGTGGCCACGGGCAGTTGTTACTTAAGCAAGCTTTCCAGAGCTTCCCAGACCTGTCAGAAACCACATGTTGTCAACTTTTAATAACTTCTGGATTGGCTGCTGCCTTGCAGATTCTGGGAACTGGAGACTTTGACAGATTTTATTTCCTGAAGAACAAAAGCCCAAAGGCTTACTGTAGACACTCTGCAGTCATGGGGTCTGCTAGTTATAAGTGATTTACTCATAATGTCCAAGGAGGAGTGATGTCTTTGATCTTCCCTGGAACTGGCTCACATCCCTAAGCAACACAGGTCTGTATCTTCACTAGTAGCTCATACTGGCACTTGTTTGTTCAAATAAGCAGGAAAGGGTTGGAATCATAGAAACATTAGGAGCAGGAATGGAGAGCAATTTTACGGAGGAGATGGTCTTAGTAGAAATTTGTATTGGTGCTGAATTGCAAACTTATCTAATATATTTACAGATAACTTGTGGGGTGTATGTGTTTAAAAAAAAAAAAGAAACAATATCCAGCACTGGGGAGTCTCTGTCAGATGTTCAGTTTAGGGGAGGGCTGCAGAGGTCTTAAAGCTTCTCCGAGTGCCCTGTGCCAGAGCATGCATTGGCTTCTATAATGCCTGGCTGCTCTCTGCTTGTCCTGGAGACATATGGCAGAGAACTGCCATGCTGCTGCCAGCGCTCAGCCTCTCCCCTCCTGCCAGTGTGAATTAACCAGCAGGTCACAGGGGCACTCATTATGGGACAAATGTTCTGATTACAGAGTAACCTTTGCAGAGTAACCTGGTAGCTATTTCCCAACTGCTGCCAAATGGTGAGGAAAGGGCAGCAGCTTAAAGCTTAAATGCTGCCTGAGCTCTGAAAATTCACCTACAGAAGCAGCAGGACCCTTACCACTGTGTATTCAGTACATGTGGGTATCTTAAAACTGATAAGGTCCTAAACGAGATGAGAAATGGAATGGCAATAAAGGATAATGAAAAAGGACTTGCATTAGTCCTAAATGGGAGGGAAGTGTAAGGACTTTGTTCAAGTCTCCTTCAAAGAAAGTGAAGGTGAAATGTGAGATGTATGATCAAGGTAGATTTGAGTTCAGCTGTAGGAAAAGTAAAAATCAAAAATAAGTTGTCGCATTTCCCACAGTGTTGCTTCTGCAGCAAAACTAAAACTCTCGGCCAGTCTTTGCTTCCCCACCTTTTTTTTTTTTTTTTTTTTTTTTTGCTTTTGAGTAACTGAAAAGTTCTGAATTAATAGAATAATAGAATCACTAAGGTTGGAAAAGATTAGTAAGATCATCAAGTCCAACCATCAACCCATCCCCACCATGACCGAATTGATGTAGAAGTCAAAACATCTTCTTGTGTTGACTGTGTCGCAGAGTGAAATTGCTCTCCTTGAAAGCTACTTCAAGTGCTTTCCTGGTTCACAAAATTATATTTCAAGGCAAACTTGTATTTAGAGAGATGGCATTTTGATTTCTTGGTATTGTAATATATGAAAATATACGAGTCTGAAATATCAAGTTAGAACACATGGCCCTGATGAAGCAAAGCTGTAGTGAAGGCTGACAGAGCACAGAGATGGCTACTTCGTACCACTTACTGCTGGTGAATGCCTTTGTGTCGTATCATATCATACCACAGAACTATAGAATGGTTGTGATGGAAGGGACCTTAAAGCCCGCTCAGTCCCAACCCCCTGCTGTGGGCTGGTTGCCCCCCACCAGGTCAGGCTGCCCAGTGCCCCATCAAATATGGCCTTGAGTGCTTCCAGGGATGGGGCATCCACTGTTACTCTGGGCAGCCCGTGCCTCAGCACTAATTGAAAGGCAGAGCCTTGGTGAATGTGTTTATGGCAGAGGCAGAGGCCTGAGGCTCACAGGGCAGTCATGGCAGAGCCTGAGAAACAAAGTTTTGGTGGTTGGCAGTGTGCTTGGAAAAGAAAAATACATTCAGAGTGAAAAGCCGATTATTTATTTAGAGGTCTTTATTTAAGCATTTCAGTACAGCCTTATCTGTCCCACTGTAGATTTGAGTCACAAATTTGAAGACAAACGAATGTTTAAAAAGAAAGAAAAAAACTTCAGTAAAATGAAGTAGTAGATTAATTATGGTCACTGATTACACCAAAAATAAACATTAAACATCAGGAATTATAGACTGTCCTAAGGCAAAGTATGCAGTGAATGTACACAATTGCACTTCAGTCTGTAAAAGTTATGACACACTCCGCTGCCCAAGCACTTAACATGCTGGGCAAAGGGGAATCCCCATTAGTACCTCTGCATTAAGAGCAGGAGAACAGCAGCTTCAGAACTAGGAAACTGCAGGGGAGTGCTCTGCCATATGCTCAGCTTATTGGGTAAGTGACCAATGGACCTAGAAGTTCCTACGTGATTCTATTCCACATAAATTAATATTAAACCAGAGTAACTGGTATCTGTTTTGTGCTACTGCTTTAGCTAGAAATTCTGTGCCTTTGAAAACAGCACATTGTGTGTTGAGACAGAAATGCTGATCCAGTATCTGATTCCTCCATCAGCAGAAATCTTGCAGTGAGCCCCAGATCTTCAGAATTTTCATTTCCCCAAATTGGTAAAAAGTGGTAATAATGCCAATTTCTCACTCCGCCCTTACTCTCAACCACAAACTCTGCTCCACAATTCTTCACCAACCCCGAGCTTTTCAAACCAAAAGGGGTTTTGGTTTGAAAGTAGCCACTAGTCAGAGGATGCCGCATTAAAGCTGTTCCAGCCCCTTCCTCCTGCAGCACCTCTACCATGAGAAACAGCACTGGTCCAGAAGGAGTGTCCAGGTAAGGAAATACTTTTAATAAGCTGTTTCCATTTGCCTTGGCATGGCTTTACTCCTTCGACTTCATACTTCACACAGGGAATGCTGGTGCCATACACCTACACTCATGGCTCACTCTGCCAGTGTCAGTGCCAAAACAGCCCCATGACTGAAATGCAATTCCTGTGACTTGTCCTAATGCTTCTTCATTAAGAAGTATCAAATGATGGAAAAACCAATCACACAGGAAAGTGCAGGTTTTTCCTGGTGACTTGGAGAAAAACAAGGCTTGGTACAGATAAATCTAAAGGGAGATTACTACATATGCAAGAAAAGGCGAGGCTGTTGTTCGGGAAGAGAAAGATTTTGGTAACAGAGGGTCTGCACCAAACGATGTTTCTGATGTACTCAAAGTCTGGCAGTGCACAGCATGAAGGCAGAAATTCATACAAACCAGTGAAAGCGACACTTAGCAATAGAAAGAGGAATGGGCAGACTAATGGGCCACTTGGCAAAGCAATCTGCCTTCATTAGTAGCTTGTTTACTTCAGAAACAGATGCAGAAAACTGTAGGGAACAGCCAGGGAATAAGAAATGTGTCTTTGTAGTCTCCCGTCTTATTGCTTTTTAGAAAAACCAGCTCGTATCTGTTAGATGAATGTGCTAATTTATTTGTGACATTTATTAGTAGCCATACAAAGTACCTGCAGGTTTTCACCTACTGGTAAGCTTTCACCAGAACACATTGAAGTTGGTTCTGCAGGCAGACTGCTCTCATGCCGATCTCTTTCTTCCCATCCCATTTCAGTCTATAGTCCAGTGTCAGTAGATGCACGCCCCTTTGCTGCAGCACATAATTCTGAAATGAGCCCTGCTTTGAGCAGTAGGCTGGATGGATGACATCACCATGTCCTTTCCAACCACAGCTTTTCTGTGATTGTTTAAAAGCAGTAATAGGAACTGCCAATGTATCTTTACCTAACTGCCTTCTATTTTGCAAAGCTTTGTCTTATCCCTTCCTTTCTAAAATATATGTGCATCTATAGGTGGATCCTTCCTCTGAGAGGACAGTCAGTCTGCTGGAGGAAATAGAAGCACTCAACCGCTTCCATTCTCTATGAAATTAGGCTACCATAGCATCATAGAATGGCTCAGATTGGAAAGGGGCCTCAAAGATTACCAAGTTCTAACCTCCCTGTCACAGGCAGGGTTACCACGTGTGAGATCAAGTTGCCCAGGGCTCCATCCAACTTGGCCTTGAACTGGATAGGGATAACACAAAAAATATGCTCCCAAACTCCCTCGAGTATAAAGATGACTTCTTTTTACATACTGATCAGTGCTCAGAAGATACTCCATCAGCCCAGGCCATTCCTCAGAGCACCTGCAGGTGCTATTCATTACCACCCTGCATTTGATACCACGTATTCAGGTTGGCGAGTACCCAGCACAGCTCAAAAAAATCAACGTATACTTGTTATAAACACCTCAGGGGAGGCCTGATATCTTGTCTGGCTAGCTGGATGGATGGCCAAACAGGAATGAGCAGCATTTGGCACCAAGCAGTGTTGATGAGACATGTCCAAATCCTGGCTCTGCTGCTCATGTTTGTCTGACACTTGAAACCAAAGCTGACTGTAGCCCTTCTTTGGCCCAGAATAAGGCTGTGGTGTGGTTAACCCTTAGCTAGGACCACTTGCTATTTCAGCAGGAGTCAGCTGTGCAGTGCAAACAGGTCATAATGGCATTGCTGGAACAGCTCACTGAGTCTCTGTCAGGTGCTGCCTCTCTGCAAGTGCTCAGGAGAGGATGCTTTCTGCTGCTTTTGCTACAAACAGGTTGTGCAGGGTGCAAATTGCAGGTTATCAATTAAAAGTGCCTTTTGCCTCCAGTAAGCAAGGCAGAGACCAAGACTGAAAACTTTGATCTCAAGTGAAGATAGAATTGGGGAAATCTGGAGAAGAAAGAAGGTATTATAACTGTAAACCAGTGATGGATGTGCTCATTGGCAACAGCGCCAAACACAATAGAGATTTACAAATATTGAGTCACAACCTCTTTATACTCATAAACTGAATATGCACATTATGTGCACCATATAAATACACCAAGTGATGGGACACAACCAAGGTACTGTCTATACTTAGAGCATTAATGCTGTCAGTACAATGCTGTGACCTGCAGGGTGTTCCCAAGCCTGTAGCCAGAAGAACACATGGAAATGACTGTGCTGTAACCATGGGCCTGGAAGGGGCTAGAAAAAGATGTAGATGACACACTGGAAAATGAGAATCGGACTTTTGTTCTTGTCAGTTGGCTTTTTTCTTCTTTTTAAATAATTGTGCTGTTGGAAACATGGAACAAAATCTACATGGGAAAAGCCTGACTTTTCTCTGCCCATATTTCCTCACAATGGAGCAATTTGGAGGCTACATGAGATGCACGACTGATTTTGAGTGAGGGAGAACTGGGGCCGAAAGAGGTATGTGGAAAGCTGGACCTGCTGTTGATGTGTCACCAGCAGTTTGTATCACAGCAACACCGAGCTGGCTCAGGGCTCTGGCCTTTTGTGCCCCATTGGACACAGACTCCCACCAGAAAGAGAAATGAAATCTTTAAAGCTACTATTGGTGACCAACTATTTGATGCCTGGTGGAAACAAAAATTGCCATATGTTACTAAAATATTCTCTTCTTTCTCTAGCTTTCTGGCTTTGGGCATTTTACAGCTGTCTTTATGCCAGCAGGAGACTGTAGCTAGCTGAAAAAAAAGGCAGAGGGCAGGAAAATCCTTGCATATGAAGAAATAAACTCTACTGTCTCATACATCCAAAGAATCTTGAACTGAAAGCTCTTTGAAACAGTTTCCTTTTCTTAGGAAAAAAACAAACAAAAAAAAAAAACAAATATTCAAATTGATTATGGTCTCTGAAATTATAAAGTGGGCTGCTTTTTTTTCCCTCCTCCTACGTGCTCTTTTCAGGCACCGTTATGCTGAAGGAAGCATGGTGCCAGAGGCTGCATGGTGCCAGAGGCTGCATGGTCCACTGCGACTGTAGGGGCTTTGGGCCCAATGGGTTCCCATCTGTTCAACAGCACGTGGCTCCTGCTTGCTCTGTCTCTTTGGAGCTGAAGGATCACAGGTAATACCAGAGAGACCCTAAAGCCCAGCAAAGTGCTCTATTGGGATGCCATTCGGCTACATGGAATGCCCCTGGCACCAGAACATAACCACAGGCTAATTACTTCTGATATTTCCCCCTTGTATTTCACCTGTTTCTTGTGAAACATGGGGGAGCTGTGGATGGCTACATGACAGAGGAAAACAACAGACTCCCTTTTTGTCTTTCTAAGAACACTGCGTTTGTTCCCCTGTGCATTAACGTACAAAGAAGATGGTGCGTGGCTCAGTCTCGGACTTTCACAGCTGCCAGGTAACTGAGTACTAGGTAACAAGAGTTGGGATGAAACTGATGTGTCATAACTCAAGCCCAGAGACTTAACCGTGCAAATGAAATGATGTGCAGAACTGCTGGGCCTAGAAACCCAATGCTGATCTGAATAAATAAACACAGTAAAATGTGATCAGCTGTAAGCAGCAATTACGCACCAAAGGAGCAGTTGCATCTTCCATAACTGGCAACAGAAAAGATGGACAAGACACTGAGTCAACCTATGAACAGATGGATGTGTTCTCTTATAGCACGTTGTATCCGTGTTATTGCAGGAAAAGATAGCTGTGTCAGGTCTTCACGCCCATCTCCCACTGGAGGCAAAACTGCGGCTGAAGGAAAAGTTGATCTCGCCATTTTTATACTTCCCCCACGCTCCAAATGGCACTATGACAACCGTGCTGTTATCCTCAGTGCCATACTGCATTGCCTGAAGGAAGAAACAATTTGTCAGCGTCACAGTCTTGCTCAGAAAGAGAAATAGCTCTCTGACTCCACATGGGACAGCATGCTCTGAGACTTCATTGCTTCTTCCCAGCTCCAACACTGCAGGCTCTTGCACACCTCAGAGCTTTCCATGGATATACCACTATCCAAAACCTCCAATATGAAACTGGTGGTTTCTGTCTACGCTGATTACAGCAGGTCTGCGGACCAAGAACTAAGCACATTAATTGAAATGATGTCCCTGTGTCCTTGCAAGGATCTGGCACTTTGATGCTTCAAGTAACCCTAGCATTACCTGCTCAGTAACAACGTGGGCAGCTTCAGTGGGATCGTGGCACTGGTTGATGAAGTCGCAGATCTCTTGACTGTTCACCATGAAGTTAATACCATCTGTAGTAAGGACTAGGAAGCCGTCATCTGCATGGTGCAACTGCAATAAAGGTATGAAGTATGCACAACAGTGAAGAGAGTGCTGCCAGGTAAAACTGCTGCCTTGATTTCTTTTTTTTTTTTACCCTTTGTTGCAAAGTATTTTTCTCTGGGAGTGCTGCCTGTTCTCTTGCTTTTTGTATGAGAACTATCCTCATCCATTAGGGGAAAATGTCAAAACATGTGAGTTGAGAGGAGGTACTTTTTTTTTTTCTCTTTATGAAAACATGAATGCAGTTGTGCTGAATACCTTATGAGTGGTTGATCTGTTTCCTGGACAATTGCAAAGCTATGGTAAGATGCATGCAACAGCCCTTTCCTTCCCCCTTCCTCTCAAATATGTAACCCGCCACAAATTCTGCTATCCTTGGTGACCCAGCTCTTCCAAATCCCACCTAGTTCTCAGTGGTTGCTTTGTAACAATATTAACATTGAAAGTAGGTTATACTGTGATAACAGGGATTCAGAAGTTAACCTTCTTGACTTTCCTGTCAGGACTTGATTCTCTTCTATCTTATTAGTGTCAATCTGAGATAACTTACGTAGAGCTGGTTGTGGGTTATTTCACCACAAGTGAAAACCAAAGCTTGGTCGTGTGGTTTCACCTGAGCAAACTGTGTGGGTACCACCACCTGCTTCAGATAGCTTTGTTGCCCCCTTAATCCAATTGCCGTCCTGTAAACCAGGCTTTCTTTTACCTGAACCCTTTTTGTTTCTGGCTGGGCTATCACACCACTGTTTTTAAGATCCAAATCTCCTATGCTCCGTGTCATTGCAAGTCTACCATTCACATGAGGTTGTCCCAAACTGTTCCAGGCAACGAAGCCACCGCACTTCCTAATCCTGTCCGGAGGCACAAGAGAGAAAGCGAAGATGAGTTACAGATTCAGACCATTCCCCCTGTCTGTAGCTGCAGTTTCTACCACTATCTGCTGATGTGAGATGGAGTACCATGGACCTGAGCTGAGAGGCTATGTTTGAAGGGTTCCACAGAAGGGATAGAATTTAGAGGGCTGAGTGCTGCCCTGGGAACTACAGCACATTTCTTCACATCTTGGATATCTCTTGGAACTCTTGGATGAGTCTTTGAACCATGTGGTTACAGCTCAATACCCAGTCCTAGCTCTGCTGGTTTTACTGCAATGACGGTTTATGTTCATGTAGGACTTTATAAATCCCCAGTTCTTGAAATGAAAATAAATGACTTAACTGGGGTTCTGCCACTTTTTCTAGCTTGGACTGTTATGTTCAGCTCTAGCCTTTTTCCCAGGACCAACCTGGCAGCAGGATAGCCTGACAGAGGCTGTTCCCCAGAAAGCCACAATACGAGCCAACAGGTACCTTTCCTTCTCCTCCTTCCTTTCTGGTGTATGGTCAATGGTGAGTTTCATGGCCTTTCCTTTTCGACACAGCAGGGCACGGCTGTCACCCACGCTTGCCACTACCAGCTCAATACCATCCCGCAGCAGGGCCACCGTTGCAGTGGTCCCAGAGTTCATCAGAGTTGCTACAAATGTCATATCAGAGAGAGAGGTTTTAACACTGCCTCAAAGCACAGGACCATTTATAACAGAACAACAGTGTCGACTGGTTAAGACAAAGACAACTTGTGCTCTACATTACTAGTAAGTAATTGTTTTTAAGTTTAAACTAAAGCTACAGATAAGGATTTAAAAAAAAAAAAAGCAAACAAACATGCATACAGGACTTGGGATGGGGAGACAGAGAGGGAAAAAAGTGGAGAGTGTCAGTGTTTCTGTGCAACAGCATGGCTCCATGCAAGAGGGCGAGTGGAGTTAAAGCAGGATGAGACACAGTGGCTTCTTTTCAGGTTGTAGCAAATAGCTTTTCAGTCCCACTAGTTCCTCTGAAGGTACAGGTTCTTGTCTTTATCCCTATGCACAGTGAGCTCATTGATAGCCCACCAGAATGCTGATGGTTCTCCCCTCCTGTGAGGCAGTGAAGTGGGTGGCTGAGTAATTGCAATTGGAGCTGCATGTAGTTCAGCAGAAGAAAACCTCCAGATCACTTCTTGGCCGCAGTCTGTGGGGTTCTCCTGTTGCTGTTGTTATTAATAATCTCCCTCTCATCCCCATTGGCTTGTCAAGAGACAAAGGGCTCTGTCAGCAAGTGCTGCCCTTTTTGAGAAGAGGACTCTGCTCTCTTACAGCCCTGCAGATTTGTTGGAGGTTGCAGCACTAAGGCAAAGCTGGATTCCGCCTTGCCTTGCATTGCAATGCAAAATGAGTGCAAGTCACCTGGCAGCTGTGCTTGCTTCTGGGTGATCTGCCCTTGTATGCTGGTGGGATCATTTGACATTTGCTGCCTAGAGGGCAAGCTGAAGCCCTAGCTGCTGGCTTGCTCCTCTTGCAGGGCACGGGAATGGTCTAAGCTGTCTGTTTTATGGACCTGGTTGCACTGACTACTGCAAGCAAACTTGCTTAGGGGAAATAAAACCCGTGCTTAAAAAGAGGAAAAACGAGTCTGTCTGCCTGTTTCAGAGAAGTTGTGCAGATTTATCCGCAGTGAAAGAAATGCCAGAAGAACTGCCTAGCCCTCATTTTTTGCTTGCTTACTGTTTAAAGGGAAGAACCTACTTTTGTAGGTAGCATCTCCTCCTGCAAAACATGCTGCACTGGTTAGGGAGAGCAATCTCTCTGCTGGAAAGCACTAGCTCCTGCTAACTTGAGCTTTTATAGTAAAAAGCCAAGTTGGGAACAAGTCTTGCCCAGAACTCACAGCCCATGCAAGTGCCTCTGAAAGGCCCTCTGGAGGCTTCTTGCACACTGAGGTGTTCCAGTAACAGGTTTTAAAAGCTAGCTTCCAGACAGAGGTTTGGGTCTTAGCATTGAGAATCCCTAGCTATATTGCTATTTTCACACGAGTAACAATTGAAGATCTTCCCACCACCACTTCTACAGAGCTCTGCACTACACGTGCTCCTGCCTTTGGCTCTGTGGCACTGACCTGGGATGGTGGAAGGAACTGGGGTGGGCAGCACAACGCCCTGATGGGTGCATGGAGCCTTGCTGTCAGATGAAAGCAGTGCGTTGATGAAACAAAAAAAAATACCTCACAAAGCCATCTAAACTAAGCTTGTGTTATTATTAAAACAGGTATTATTACTGCTGCGGTGACTTGGTTAACTGACTTAACTAACAAGTCCACAGTGAATGTTCACCATGGTGACACAGGATGCACCTTGGTCTATGTTACAGCTGTGATACAGACTACAAGATTCAAAACCACGTAGATGCCAGTAGTCTGTTGAGCATTCAGGTAAGCACTGACATCTTGTTTCTACTTTAAAGCAAGAACTATGGAAGTACAGGCTCGTTTTAAAGTATTTTATAAAATAAGATAATAACAGGTAGTGGTGTGATCAGAAATTTTAGTAAATTCAGTAAAATACCTGTTTTAGCCAACAGCTAAAAGAAGTAAAATGAACTTAAAACTGCCTTTTTTACTTTGTAGAAAATATATTTTACTTAAACATTAAAATTAATGCCACTAGTTTCCCATCTCATCACTTGTTTTGGAACTATGCTGACAAACACATAAGGTTTCAGAATAGGTTGATCTGAGGTCTGTAATTTATGACTGAGCGCAAACATTTGGTCATTCTGGTGAGCGTACATCTTCACAGTGCCAAACCAGAAAGCCAACAGGCCTGCTATCAGGAAGCAGAGGATGGTACTGAAGACCCATCAAAGATACAACAAAGAGCTGTGGTAATGGCTATACCAACTTCTGTCTTATAAATGTTTGCTTCTTAAATTGCACTCTGAGGAAAACAAATGCCGCTCATGCTTTCTTCTCTGAAACTGAATCACCATTCACATAGGGGTGAAAGAACATGGATCTGGTCAGACTGAAGGGATTATGTGACTTCTCTTACAGTTCCAAAACACAGCAGTGATGATGGGATAACATTTCTAATGCTTTACTATGACTGCTGCTAGGATATTTAATAACACAAAAATATATTGCATCAGCATGTGTACTCAATTTTAAAAGAGTTTATCTTGTTTACCTAACAATATCACTACAAAACTAAGATCTTTCAATAGGTTCTTAACACTCACTGGACACTTCTTACTGCAAGTCATCTCAACTAATGTGACAAAGAGGATGTGGGAACCTTCCAGTAGTCCAGGCTAGGAACCGCCGGACTCCTTCACCTGGGACAAAATTAAGCAGATCTCTCTTTCCACTGAAGCCCAGCATATAGTGTCCAGGGCCTCCAGTTCTAGAGCTGCTGACCAGGTACAGTGTCTGCCACAAATAACACGTACACAGAGGCAAATAGGAAATTGACCCAGGGACTTTGTTCAAACAAAATAAACCTGCAACACTGGAGATGAAAGGACAAGGGCTGCAAAACAGGGCACGTAGTCATTTTGGGTTTGCCCACAGGGTCTTCTACAGAGGAAGGGCCTGGATGAGCTGTGTAATGTTCCATTTGGCCATAGTAGAGACTGCATCTTCGGCCACAGATTTGTTTTGCGGGGCTGATGGCAAGTGTCCAGTTAAAAAGTCATCCAAATAAATGTACTGATGCCAGATATGACTGTCTCATATGACAGCGGTCACCTTACAGAAAATGTTCAAAACATAATGTGGCCCATTTTCCCAAGGTAGTTTATATATGTAAATATATATATATAAATGAAATAAAAATTGAGAGTTCAAACCTGTGCCAACTAAAATGAGGCCATTTTAATGAAGACACTGAATGACCCCTTCTGATCCATGGGCAAACATGCAATAACACCCCCATTATACCGTAATTAGTATCATCTAACTTGATTTGGTAATAATTGAGACCTCTGGATAAAAAAGTGGTCTTTGTGACATTGATGGCATTGTGAAATACGTAAGTAACCATTTCTGCAGCTCTCCCTTTTCCTCAGTGTTGCAGGTTAGCATATTCAAAGAAGAAGTAATCACATGTTCAAACAGTAACTTAAAAAAAATCTGAATACTACTTTGTAAATATAATTATTTTAAAAATACTTCTGCTGTTTGCTCAGCACATTAAATTTCCAGGAGGTCCCTTCAATCGTAGACACATCAGGTAACACCTGGCTGTGTTTTAACAAGATGGCTATTCCAGAAGTGAGTGGTCAACGTGATTAGAGCTAGATGCACTGAACATGGAGGCTGATGGAAACATTGCCTGCCTGTTATTTTCCCTCAGTGGTGGATGGTGCCTGCGGTGAACAGAAGCAACAGCATTTACACTTCAAGACCACCCTAGGCCAGGGCAGGGTTTGTTTTCCATTTCTCCAGAGCAATGTCCTGTTTACCTCGAGCATGATAAGTTGTTTAGATCCATCCTTACTCAAGAAAGCTATTCAGCTTTTACATTTAGATTTTCACTGCTGGTCCAATGTAACAGAAAACTGTCCATCTCTGTTAGCGTTTGTTCCCTGGATAATAATGTATTTGTTGATTGGGAACTTCCTTTACTGTGTCCTGTATGTTAATTTGGCAGTGATTCGACAGTGATTGGGTACATCTGAATGTGTGGAAGTGAATGAAAATGAGTTTCTGAAGAGATATCGAACACCATGCTTCAAGACTCAGGCATGTCTCTGACCTCTTAATGATTAGAAATTATTTCTGTGGCAGATGGCTTCAGAAAGAAAGTTTCTTATGCCTTTGTCTGAAACTGTCAGAGGGGATACAGGAACAACCTGCAGGTCAATACAGCAGTCCAACAGCACTAGTGAACGCACACACCAAGCATGTAGCAGTACTGGAACACATGCATAGACCTTTACTGTTATTGAGAACTCAAACGAGGAATTATTCTACTTGTTTTTCAAATCTAATTTCAAATATTTTTCAATTGTAAATCTTCAGTGTCCTGGAAGACAAAGCTATGTTCTCCAACAATTCATGTTCTAGTCCTGTTAAATTTTTGCCATATGTTTTTTTTTTCCCTCTAAATATCATCATAAGCATTGTGTTAGCCAAAATTTCATGGATTTTTGTTACAGGGATTTGTTACAGGGACTCCTGTATCTATGTCCTGGCAATTATGTTTCTTCAAACACCCAGGCATTCATTTTCAAAGCTGGTTGTGTGTTAGTAAAGATCTGGACACACCCTGACCATCCACCCTGTCTTTTAAAGAATACAGAGAAAGGAGCCCTGGCAGGGCTGTCTGTGGGAACAAAACTAAGTAAGTTATTTTTCTGCACTTCATCAGCTGCGGCAGGGATTCAAAAGGAGGTTGGCCTTGAGCATCCAGTGTATGACAGATAACCTGTGTTACACCACTGACCACCATCTCTGAGAAACTTTGACCATCACATCTAGAACAGCCACAATTATTCAGAATATTTGCTGGCAAACTGAATCAATTTGGAATTAGTCTTTTAACAAGGATACATGCAAAACATTGAATTTTACATAACTTTCAAAAGAGCAGCAATGACAAAAATATCCACACCAAACAGTCAATCAAGCATTTAATTTTTAATTTTTTTTTTAATCAGCAGATACGCAAAAAGCTTGCTTTGTTCAGAAAACTGCACTTGTCTGCGCACTCTGTTACTCCACTCTTTGCCTTTTAGCTTTATTTTCAGCTGGGCAACCAGACAAGAGCACTGGGCACTTTTAGATCCCACTGGCTCCTGTGGGAAGAATATGCAGGCATTCAGCCTCCCTAAGAAACACTGAGTACTTTGTAGGACATGGCCCCTGTAAATGTTCAATGATTGCTTTTCCCTTCTATTTTGTTTGTCCTCAAGCTTTTTTAATGCAGGAGGCTTGTTCAGTATCTTGATGTTACATAAATTTGCTGGCATTTGCATTACGTTTCAGTGAGCAGCCCCGATTAATCAGTTAAATGGTATGATAAAATCCTACAAGGAATTCCAAAATGCCCAGCTTGCTGTACAGCTTGTTTGTTAAATATGTTTCTTGTTCAGTTCATTATGTCTCAAGTACAGAATGCTATAATCAGAAACCACATTCAGAGTAACAGAACAGTATACCCAGTATGGTTCCCAAACATCCTTCTCAAGGAAATGCTCTGAAATTTGAACATGAGCAAAATAAAGAGCTGTCTTAACAACAAATAGACTGGGCAGGGTGCAAATAAAACAAATCACAGAAAATAAGAGGTCGTGATCTAGGGAAGCACATAAGCCTTCAGGTGCTTGTTGGTTTGTTGTTTTTTTTTTTAAATCTGGGCTTACAAGGAGACTCTTGGATCCAAAGCTCATCTGCTCTAGTGATATCCCTATCATTAGCTCAGTTAAAACTGACTTCACAGGTCAAAAATGACTTTGGATTTTTTACCCCATTATTATTCTTTTTAAACAATAGGACTGGTTTTCCATACCTAGAAATAAAATAGGTTATAATGGAAAAATGAGCTTTACAGATTAAATTCCTCCTTTTTAAAGGCTGTGTTTCAGAACTTGAGTCATTGTCTTTTCTGATACATTAGCTCTTACCATGTAAGAGGAAAGCTGTACATCCCTCACAGTGCTGCAACAGTCAGGCAACTCGTCCAGACAGGAAATACTTGAGCCTAGGTAGGTTTGGTTAGCACTTTAAGAGCAGGAAACCACTCCATTACTAGACTGTTTTCACTGATTGTTTAAAGGAAGTGGAAGTAGCCCCAAGGACACAGTGCGACTTCATTCCCTAAACGTCCTGTTGCATCGCCAGTATCTGTAGCAGCACTGGGACAGGTTGTTTGGGTTTGGTTTTCTTTGTATTTATTTAAACACTAGGTGAACTAACTCCTCTATCTCCTTCCCAAATTACACCCTATAAGCTCCAGCTGCTGTGACTGGAATTTCAGATGTGCATAGTCTCTCTCTATATATACACAAGAATTTGGTGAACAGCCAGGACTAAGGAAATCTAAAGGGGCTGGTGCCAGCTTTACCACAGCGAATCTTGTTTTCCTCTTGGCTGTTGTTTCCCCTTTCATGCTCAGCTGCTCTGGAGATTCTCTCTGTGCAGAAGTGGTACCGTTTGTATTACTTCTGGCTTATATTCCTCCTCAGCTGCAGCAGCCAAGTAAGAAAGGGGAACTTTGGACAGTGTTCCTTTCCACTCAAAGGAATAGCAACTTTTCAGAAAGAAAAGTTGGTTGGACTAGATGATCTTGTAGGTCATTTCCAACCTTATGATTCTATGATTCTATGAAAACAAAACAAAACAGAAAACAACCCAAAGAAGACAGTGTTTCTCACACAGGAAGATTTTGTTCCTTGCCAATTTAAATCGCTCCTTGCTAACTTGACAAACACCTTTCTTGACAGAATGATGTTAAGATAAATTCAGTGCGGATTATGCTGAAGCCCAGATTAATAACTCCACCAGTAAATTTGACCTAGACTTTTTAACAGCTTTTTCGTTTTTAGGGAAGTAAAGCACAATTGTTTAGTTTGCGGTAAGTGATTAGAGCAAAAACCTATATTAAGTAAAACAGTTTTCAGGCTGTTTTTGGAGTCTTAGTACAAAAATACTGAGAAATAACCAATCCCTTTTTCCCCACACACATAAGGGTAGAATATTTTTTTACCTACCATCAGCAGACAGCTGAGCATGCCTTTCGTATGCTTTGTTTATTTCTAGAAAAGCATCGTTCAAAACTTTTTCTAAGTTCTCTTCCTGAACAGCAAATTCCCTGGGTACAAATAATGAAAAAAAAATTAGACTTCTTACCAACAAGTGTTCACATTAATCAATCTCTTTCATAGACTTATTTCCTCCCTGCATGCATTGACTAATGCTAGATTACAGTAAAAAGGTAATACTGCTTTATTAATGACTTCCACTGAAAGCTTAATACTCTGATTTTGTGAACAGATAAAGTGCTTCTTCTAACACTCAGGCAAGTACTGGAGAGCTAGGGAGGAGTGTCAGCAAACTCCCAAATCTGTGTTCACATAACCCCCATCTGACAACAGGCAATTCACATGCTCTGTATTCCCTGCTCTCTCCTGCAATCACATTTTCTTTTCTTGTCTTTCCAGGCTTGCTCCCCAGGCAGGGAACATACAGAGAAGTACATCACGCCACATCTGTTGTAATGGGAATTATTCCTTTGCTGTGTTCCTGCTGACCCTGTTGGAATAGACGGCTATACAACCTGGGACGATTAGCAGCAACATATGGTGCACAGATTCCCTTTTTGTTGTAAGGAGGGAGGCTCTACTGTAAGTCATTAACCGCGCGTTCACTTGACACACACTTACTTGATATATCTTTCCATGTTCTTAGCGCAGAAGTCTGCTGCCGCCGCCCCGCCATGTCCATCGTATACTGCAAAGTACAGGACATCCTCAGTCAGCTGAGCGTAATCAAAGCGGTCTTCATTTTCCTTCCGCTTCCCAATATGACTGGCACAGCCCACTTTGCTCAGGCTGACTTTTGGAATCGGCTTTCCATACTTTATGCTAGGTGGGAGGAGAATAGGTTCATCAATGCGATTGTCCCAGATGCCAAAGGTGTCCCACGTGGCGGGCCGCCCGCTCCCGTCCGGATCAAAGCGGGATGCCCGGCGTTCGGAGGTGGAAATGTAGCACTCGACTGTCAGACGCTTGTCGTCTTGCAAGAGGCGGGATGTCAGCAGGGCTCTCCTTCGTACTTGAGAACCTCCGTTTCTTACCAAATGGATTAAAGCAGCTGTTGACATAACTTGTCTTCGCAGAGATTTGTAGGGATAAAAGAGATGCAGCAGCTGGAATGTCTTCAAGAACAAAGAGAAAACTGATCAAGAATCAGCACAGGAAGGGGGACTATCAGTTACATCATTCAGGAAACAATTTCACAGTGGGAGCCCGCTAATCGTGCATAGCACAGCACTGCCTAGAAGAGGCTACAGAGCCTCTGCATGACTCATCGAGAAACAATCCTGCACAGACCAGCCCACAGTTACAGTTCTGATGAGGAGTGCTGCAGATAAATTGAGGCAAGGCAGCTCCACTGGCCACCTCCATCGTGATACCCCTATTTTCAGAGGTTGCAATGGAGCTAATGAGAGTAATAATGACTTTGTTCTATCTCATCAAAACTAAGAAAATGTTGAAATATGAGGTAAGGTCGTTGAATGAGTTTATCATGCATACAGCTCAAGCAATTGCTAAAGCATATGTGCTGTGAATCGTGGAGAGTGGGAAAAAATGTACTTGCTTTGATTTTAAAGAGCTGAATTCCTGCACAGGAGACATGATATTCAGTTCTGTCCCATTTCATCAGAACCTGAATAAGACTTCTCAAAGCAGAACTGGAAAGGGAATTATTATATATATATATTTTATATATATTTTATAATATATTTTATATTTTATATTTTATAAATATAAAATAAAAATAATATATAAATATATATATTATTTTATAATATAATATATTATATAATATATATATAATATATTATATAATATATATATAATATATATAATAATATATATATATTATTATATATATACATATATATATATATATTTTTTTTTTTTAAGGCAAAGAGCAACCATTAAGTCTATCTGTAGGTATGCACAATTGCTCACTTTAACTTCACAAAACACTGTCCATGCAGCTTTTAGCTATTCTCCCTGGTGTTCTTCACTACCCAACCCTGAAATCCTTGAGCTATCCCTGGAAGCAAGATCTTCCGTTGACTTTTCAGATGCCTCTTCCAGCTTGGATGTATTAAACACACAAGCTGGCTCAGCACAGATACAATTCACTGACACTGATCCAACTAGCAAGCTGAAAAATGTAGAGCAATTTGCTTAGTTATTTGCAGAGTAACAGCCTAAATGATGAAACTTGAAACAGCTGGGGTGCATTTGGTAGTAAGCCCATGTTGTTGCACCAGACAGATTTGACCTAGACCTTCAGATCGCTGTAACTAACCATGGTAAGAGTTAAGTGAGGGATTGCTCTTGTTATTGCTAAATGTTTGCTTGTACTGGAGAATTGCCAAGAGCAAAACTGTAAGTGAAAAGTATTCAATACCATAATAAAGAGATTAAGAATACATAAGATGGCAGAAGGCAGATGGTCTGACATAATCCAGCAGCAAAGAGTGAGCAATATGCATACCCTAGAGATACGTAATTCTGGACTGGAGTGCCTTGCCATTGTGTTTTCCGGATTCAAATCATAACTGCATCTGTATTTTGAAATATGGCTTTACTCTAATTTCTTTAAATCACAGACAAAAACTGGGCGCTTGCAAAAACATTCATAAAGGTAACTTGGTGAGCATTTGTTTAATTAGAAAGCGGCTGTGATGTGAACATTTTGTAGGCATACAGTAAGCTTGCACAGCTCAAAGCACGTTGTTTTGGATGCTCTTGGTTTATCTTTAATGTAGTATCTTAGGTGAGGAAAGATTTGTTTATTTAGCATTTACAGACGAACAGTCCACTCAGTCAATGCCAAACACGCTGGGAATCAATATTGTTGCACTGGATGAATTTGGCCTAGACACCATGTGAATGAACTGGCACGTTTCCACTATGAGTGATTTTCCATTTTACTCCTGGACGTCTGCAACATCTCACCCTTATTACACTATACTCGCAGGTAGTTAATAGCTGATTTTCTTCCTTGAGATTTTTTTTTTGTTTGTTTCCTGTTGCCCTTGACTCGCAGCAACAGCACGTTCATTTCCTCCTGCCAAGCACAGCTCAACAAAACTGAAAGCCTGCCAATTCGCAAAACCTGCACTTCTGTCAGCTCGAGAGATGAGGAAGAAACACCAGCTATATTTAGAGCTCCCAGAATCCGTAGTGTGAATCAGAAGATACATCCAGAGCTAATTAACAGGTTTGTTTCCATCAGATATACCTCCTAAAAGCCCTTTTCCACCTTACTGGTGGTCGTGGTGGGGATGGGCTAAAAACTGGACTAGATGGTCTTAACGGTCTTTTCCATCCATAATGATTCTATGATTCTTGAACCCCAACGGTGCTTGGGCTCTTCAGCTGTCTCTGCAAGGAGGAACATGAAACCACGCGGTGGCTGCAGTGATGTAAATAGTTGTGCTTTCGGCTGGGGACAGCTTGTCCAAACCGATATGCCTGCAGACACTGAGAAAGGCCAATGTGGGAAAAAAACAGGCTGTGGGTGCTGCAGCCAAAAGGAGCCGGCTGCGGGGGGAAACCTGCTGCGGGGGGCTCCGTCTGATCCTGTCAGCCTCCGAGTATTTAACCTAAAGGAATGGTTTGTATACATAGACGAGGAAACGCAGCGCTTAGCGTTAATGATTAAGCCGTAGACCAAGCTGTAGGGTGGACCCTCTTTTCAGCGAGGCTGCCTTATGGGAGATGAAAACGTTCCATACCGAGAGGAGAAAAGAGCAGAAGCCTATTCGTGCCCCGGAGGACGCGCGGCTGCCGCCCCGCAGCGCGCAAGGCACGCTGAGCATCCAGCACAGCGCTATGGCCGCAGGACGATACCACGCCCGCCCGCCGCACCCGTTAGAGCTGCGGCCAGCGGTAGGGAAGGAGAAACGACGACCGAACCCTACTCTCTCCTCCCGCTGCGCCGAGAAGAGGCCTTACCTTCTCCTCTGTGTTCTCCTGCCGTACCCGGGAAGCCGGAGGCGAGCGGCGGAATCTCCCCAGAACCCTCCGGCCACTGCTCCCGCCCGCCACGCCTCTCCTCTCCGCGGGGCCGCCGGGCCAATGCGGCGCTGGGGGCCGTCCCGGCGCGGCCCGGCCCTTCGCGGGCCCCAATGGCGGCGGAGATGGCAGCCGAGCCCCCCCCGCCGCCCTCACCCCGCCCTGAGGGGAGCGGCCCGGGTGCGGGGCGGGAGGAGGGCGACTGTGGGATGCCGCGATGCCGTTCCCGCTGGCTTCTGCTCGTGGTTGACGCGGGTATCGGATCCTGGCACTCCGAGAAACACGGAACGTCGGGTGTTTTCCATTTCCATCCGACAGTCTCGCAGTGGAGCCAGTATTTAGACAAAACCTGCCTAGGTGTCTGGCTGTCGGGTTCTTGAACAACCAGCCTTCAGCACATTCAGGGGCCTTCTTAATCTTTCAGTTAATATTTATTCATAGAATCAAAGGATAGTTGGGCAGAAGGGCTCTTAAAGCCAGCCAGCCCCAACCCCCGCTGTGGGCTGCTTGCCCCCACCAGGTCAGCCTGCCCAGCGCCCCATCTTCTGCTCATCCAGAAACTTTAAATGGCTTTGATTATTCAAGTAGTTTATTTGGAAACATAAGTGGATTTTTGCTGTGTGCTTTGTTCTCTCACTGAAGGATCTTAGATATAGAACAAAGCGAGCTAGGACAGAACGTTCCTAGTGGCTCACGCTGTGCTGCGAGCACTCTCCATTTATAGCACGTGAGTGACGCAATCTGAATTTGCCCTTGAACTGGAATCATTGTGAAGCATTGCACATTACAAGTTGCAATACTTGAAAACATTCACTGCTGTGCTGCATGTGGCTCAGCTGTGCAGCGCCAGGCATGCGAGTAGAAATAATGCTCTGGTTGATCACAGTGCCCTGCGGGCCCAAAGATAGGAGTGAGGAGCAGGAAGGCTGCTGCCAGGCCTTCTTGCTGACACACCTCTTGCTCCTGGCAGAGCATAGGAGCCCTGATGGGTGGAGGAGCTGGCACCACTCACTGCTGGCTGTGTGCTCTCTGCAGCTGTGAGGAACAGGGTTTCCCCTTTCTTGTGCACCCACACGCTTCAGCCCAAAGGGTGGGGAAATGATTGTGGCTTTTTAGAATAATCAAGTACAGTTCTTATTCCTCTCTTGTTCTTTTCTATGTTACTTTGGGTACCACCTCCTACAAAATGTTAAGGATCAGCAGGAATATAGAACACGAACAGTGCTATCGCTGGAAAGTCATTTGCAGGCTCATAAACGTAAAGAAGCACCACTTCAGCACTCCTCCAAAGCTTTACAACTATTTACTTATTCCAGTTTGGACTGCTTTTCCTGTTTGCTAGGGGCACCTGAGATTTAAGACTCAGCAAAGAACCCGTCCTTTGCTCTGCCCTGGCTCACCAGATGCCTGGCTTTATGCATGAGGTGCACAATGCCAAGTCCTATCAATAGATGACTAAACAAAATGAAATCAGGGTGTTGCTTTGAGAATCTGGCAGCTTCTCTGTGCCTGATCTAAAACTGAGTAGCTATTCAATAAAGAAGGAATGCTAAAGCCCATGTCTCCCAGACTCTGTGCTGTTGATCTGAAATGGCTCATGTGTTGAATTTCAGAGCTGGGCTGCAGTGGTCTTGTGTGGCTTGGAAAACAGAGTAGTGAAGTGAGGCAGTCTGTGGCAAGCATCCTTATGGACTTTAGAGCATTCTGATAGTGCATGTCCATAGGTGAGCCTGCTATCAGGATAGGTAGGAGCAGCTTCTTGCTAGCCTATACTTTACTTTTTGTAAATCTCAAGATAAAGACTTAACTAGCACCTGCATGGAATAAGAGTGTGCTTTTTGACAGTAGTTACTGTTTGCCCTCACTATTCATGCTTTTAAGAAGACCTGTGCAGATACCAGTATGTTACCTGGTCATTATTGTGCCTACTAGCAAATTTTATTTCCTACTGATACTGTTTCATCTTTGCTTAGTTATTGTTAATACAAACAAAGCCTGCTGTTATGGGAAGGCTACTGCTTCATCTTAAGAGCAAATAGGAAGAAAGGATGTAACAGGCATGGAGCATTATAAACCCATGCCTCTCCTCTGAGAGAAAACCTGAGACAGTATTAAAGTTAGAATATGTCCTTAATAAAGAAATAAATACACAATTAAAAAAAAAAAATTACTGAATTCAAATGCAAAATTAGGTCTTATATCATAATTTGTAACAGATTTAATTAAATTCCACTCCCATCTGCTTACAGAATTTGATCTAAAGCACAGTGAAACTTCTATGAACCTTCATGTCAGTCCATCATAGATGAGACTTGGTCTACAGGAAGATGGAACACTTTTGTGCACCGGATGAAAGCTTCAGCAATGTGTAATCTTTGTTAATTAGAAAGTGTTTCTGTGTGATCTTTGCCGACTGTGCCATTAACATTCTGTGAGCCCACTGAAGTAACTTAGAATCTGGGGTGCAGAGTTGTTGCTGTGATTCTGCCTTTGTAGACTGTGTGCTGCTAATATCTTCTGCTATTTGTGATTGTTTTAAAACTCAGATCAATCAGTGCATTAACTAAATGCTAATTCCTGGGGACAGCGTGAATGGTAGGGATGAGAAGCTGGATGCATAAAGAGGAACAGTGCTGAGAACAATCAGGACTGAGTCTGCCAATGAGGTACAGGTAATTTAAGGAGGACTGCTCTTCTTTTTATTGAAGATGTGTGTTTTGCCAGTTCAGTTGCAATGATAAATTCTTTTTCTAAGTTATCAGACATATGCTGTATAACTTAAATTTCCTATGGTGAGGCAGAGCAGACCTGTGGCTGAGTCCTTGTTATGCTTCTTAGTCATGGCTTTATCTCTATTTTTTGTCTGTGAAGTGGGGGCTGATGGGAGCAGCCATAAAGTTGATCTTGTCTTAATGGGAAAAATACAGAAAAAGTCTGAAAAAAACACCATCAGAAGATACCCTGTCTGGTAACAGGGGAGCCTGGCTTAGCAATCAGGAGAATCCTTGATATGTGCAACTGGTATCTTTGAAATGCAGCAGGATACCTAAAAATTCCAGGTAGTGATGTCCTATGAAACCTGTAATACAGAAAGGACTTGCTTTCTACCCAGAATGAGACCTCTCTCTGAGGCCTCCCTGTGCACAGAATTTTTAGATATTTCCAAAACAAGACAGGACCCCTGTTGGGAATGCATGGTTGACTCCCAGCTTAGTGACACAGGTCACCTTTGAAATTAGTTTGTTGTTGATTGGCCCCACTCTTGGGACTGGCTTGGTGAATGCTATACCACTATTCCCTTGGCATACAGGCACGTACATATCTAGGTAGTCATATTTGTTGCTTTACTAATGGTAATTTTCAGTATAATATAGAAAGCTATATGCATTGTTACTGTGTAAATACATTTGCCTTCTAGGAGTATCTTGTAGTAACTTGTTATAGGCTGTGTGTTTAACTGTAAGCGTACTTGCTTTACTTATAGCAATTTGTAGTAATCTGTAACAAAAGAATTCAAGAATAAGAGCTCCACAGTATTATGTATTACAGACTGCTGTTAGCTCACCATGCAGCCTTATGGAAACATGAAGGAGTTTTCCTTGCTGCTGTTTTTCAAGAACAGAATAAATGCCTCTGAGGTATTATGGTATATAATTAACGAATATTAAGATGTTATAATTACAAAATAAGAGAGTTTGGCAAATCAGCTAATGATAACAAAAAGAGAATAGACAGAAAGCTTACCCCTATCCTGGGCTCACTTACAGAACTCCAGCAGAGCAGACCTCCAGAAGAGATCCTTCCCCACTGGTAGCCAGCTCTTAAATAGGTCTAGGAGGGGTGCAGCCTCTGGCAGCACAGCTGAATTGCCTTCACCTGTGCTCCTCTGGCTGACTCATTGCTCGCCTCAAGTGATCAATCAGAGGTTCAGGCCGTGACTCAGCAGTTCCCATACATACGGTAGTTGTAGTACCAAGTAAGAATGTTTGCTCGTAGGCAAATAAACCCCCCAAATTGTACTGAAGCTAGATATACTTGCTAATGGCTAGGATATCTTCTACAGAAATGTTTTGTCATTTTCAGAAATGAATATTCAACCTCAGGTCCAAATTCCCTACTGATGCAAGCACAGCTCTGCTGAAATCATCAGAACTCCACCCCCTTATCTCAGCAGTAAATTAATCCCGTTTCTGCCTTTTCACT